AAAATTTTTTTCTGTATATACATCGATGAAGACAGTACAGGTTATAATGTTACTATCATTAAAAGGAAGTAAATTTGTATAAATAAAATTTACACAAATAGAAGATTAATTAAATGCAATAAAAGGAGAAAAAAAAGATTTTAAATTGTCATAATTGTAATAAATAAAACTATTTCAAAAATCATTATTTTTTTGACGCTATAATTATGATGATTTAAAAATTTAACTGAATGCAAAAGTTAAGTTATCACAATGTAAGCGCTAATATATGCAAATATTTTACAGTTTATATTCATTAAAAAAAAGGAACAAAAAGATGAATACTGAAAAAAAGAAAAAGGGAAGCAAATTAGCAAATGTTAAAGTAATTTCGAAAGAAAAAAATAAATTCAAATGAATGAATAATCATTAACTTATAATGATCCCTTAATTTCTCAATATATTTGATATACTCACATTTATGTAATAATAGTAAAATTTGGTTTCAAATTTTCCACATTTATATAAGAGCAATGATTAATTCAGCCAGCTTTAATATTTCGATTTATGAATGATGAAATGGAATGCTATACTTAAGCATTAGATTAGAAATTTGCAACACTAGCTATAATTATGCTCCACTATCCAACTTATCCTAATTATACACTATCATGATTTTATTCTGTCAATAAGATAATTATTATAATCATCATTATTACTATTCCTATTATTGTTGAAAATTCAAAATTCATACTTAAATTGTGATTTGCTAGCTTTCTTAGCACTTGCACAATTTTGTCATCATCTCATTCCAATCATTTTTTTGCTGAGCAAAAGTTTTTTTGACCTTATCTCATCCATACTGATTATACTTCAGTATGTTAGTTATTAAATTCCAGTACACAGTTGTTTTCTTTTTTATTTTAAATGCATAAACGATGGATATTGTTATTTCTTATGATAAAAATATATTAATTGTAATTTCTCTTTTTTTAAAAAATTCTGATTAATAAGGAGAATATATTTAAACGCATTTAATTGACATTTAAAAATTAAAAAAAAAAAAAGAGTTTCAATCGTGATTTCTAAGGTATGTATCTAATCTTATTAATTTTAAAAAATATTGATTATAAAATTTGTTCCCAATTTTAATTAGTAGGAATGGGTTCATTTAAATTATTTGAATATCATTTAAAATTTCTTTTTTTTTAAATTTTAACTTCTAAAAGATTGGCTTATTTAATTGATGCTTTTCATCATCAGTTAAACTTCACATCCCTAAATTTACAATAATTTAAAATTTTACAACTGTCCCAAAATGCAATTACTTTTACAATGTACACTTAATATTTCAGGAAATCCTGCATACCTATTTTCCTATTTTGCTAGACACATATGCAACTGTCAGTTATTTAAATTGCCCGTGGGAAATGAGAATAGGATAGAATAGTAAATGTTATAGCATAAAATGGCTAAATGACTGGTTGGCATTGAGGATTTAGGCCAAGTATATGGGACAAAAATATTGCTAGGTTTAAATGAATCCCTTCAAATATTTATATATGTATATCCCAAAATATGCTTTGTAATAGGTTTAATAGAATTATTAATCATATTATTATAAATTAGAGAAAGAAGCTTGAAGAATACATGAAAGACTGTAATTAAAATTAGGAAAAAATTTTAATGAAAAAAGTTAAATTTAATCAGTAATCTATTTTTATTTTTTTTTTTCATTCATTCATTTGCAGTTATTCTTTATCGAACCTACAATTTTTGAATAATCAATGTTTATTTTCATTTCTCTTAATTTGTTTATTCGAAACATTATGTTCAAATAAAACATTTCTTAGCATTTATTCATTCATTATTCCCAAAGGAATGATAGCAACGACCTGAAATAGATAATCAAATAATCTATTTTGAAGTATTCATTAGTAGTCCCAAGAAATGATAAATAAAAATAAATAATAATTAGATTGGTTCAGATTACATTCATTTTATTTACAACTGTCAGCGTATTTTGAACAATTTTGAAATTTAAATCTTTCTCACATTCATTCCTAAAAATAATCCTATTTGATCGGTGTAATTTATTAATTAATATTTGATGAGAAAAGTGCACATTATAATTTTATAATTTCACGTCATATTTAACATTTTAATAATGCTATGAAATATTTATTTGTAATATAATTAGATTAATTTTGTATTGAAAGGGATGTGATATTCAAAAAAAAAGAAACTAAATTCGAAAGCTAATTAATCATAGATTGCTAAAATTCTGCAATAATAATTTGATTGAAATTTCATCCGTAACTTTTTATTCAATTTTAATAGTAAATAGGACAAACCCTATTAACGATATTAATTCTATTGTTTGTTTCGCTACAATTTCAGATAATTTAACTAACGATTAATTTTTTCGTATTGTCTTTTGTACAAAGTAACGAAGAAATTAAATTTTTAATAGTATCGAAAATCGAAAATTTTTCTTTTTTTACGAAGTAATATCAACATTCCATCCCTAACCATCAAGAATTTCTGAATAACTATATACAGTATACCTCCTCCTTACGGTATAATACATCATTACTGTATACCGGATGTGATTTATAATTGTAACAATTTCGATTGAAATTCATAAAATTATGTATCCAAATATTTCGCATAATTTGAATTGTTGTTATTAAATTACTAGAATGTTAATTAATTAAGCCTTAGTGCAACCATTATCATTAAAATTTTTTTTATTTCTCGTTTTAACTTTGGAAATTTCCAATTTTTTTATTAGTGTCTTAATAACTATTACTATCATTTGTCCTTTCATAAAATTTAAAAAACACAAAACGGAAGCACCTCAATTTCCCGTTTAATTTTTAAATTTAGTGCTTTTTTCATATTTTTTTTTTTGCTTCATCCCTTTGAGAATTTTATCGCTATTTTTTGAAAACAAAAATGAATAGAATGTCTCAGTTGAATGAGCAATCGACTTTTTAGGCATTTATTATAAATATTGATGTACACACATATACATAAAGACGTACAAGATTGATGTTCAGAATAAGATAGCATGGGAATAATTTTGAAAAAAATTTAACTAATCATAATTTAACACATCAAAGGTCATCATATGAAAAGTTATTTTGTCATTAATACACTGTTGCAGTATAATAATCATCATCTACTGCATTGATGACCATTCATCTTAGCAAAGCAAACACTTTCACCTCTCTCTCTCCACCTCCGTCCCATATTGTATCGATAATGTTCTGGATTTCCATCCTTAATACATTCATCACATTTCCGGATTCGTTGACTGTAGCTACCGTAAAAATATCATATTCTTTGAAAGTTGAAAAAATGATAAATTTTGTTTGTTTGTTTGTTTAGTAAAATGATTATTTTTATGTTATTTATTTGTTCAGCTTTCTCTTTATAGTTATTCATTTGTTTATTTTCGTTTCTCTAATTAATTACTTGTTCCGCTACAACATTTTAAAGCATACTAAATAGGCAAAAAAACACTGATGCAAATTGAAACAACTTTTAGAAATTATCACTCCTTTCCAAAAAAAAACAAAAAAAAAATCCTTGAAATGAGAATTATTCGATATATTTATGGTTTAATGAATTAAATGTGACTTTTGAAAAATAGTCTGATATAAACCGGTCAAAAAATAATAATTTCAATTTTCATTAATCCTGTAATAAAAACGGCCCGTTTACTGTAACTGGAAAATTTCCCATTTTCTAAACATTTTAATTTGTAATAATTGTAAAATAATAAGGATAATATCGAATTTTAATAAATGAATAGAGAATACGGATAAGCAGGAATGAAATATGCAACTAAATTTCAATCAAAATTTAAAACAATATTAAAAAAATTTTTTTCAGCTAAATGTGCCAACGAAATTTGCAATTGTCGATGATTTTCCACGGATAAATACCAAAATACAAAAATATCGAATGCGACAAATGTTGGAAAATGGTGCAGTACAGTTGAAACCGTAAAAACTGTAACAAAAATAAGAAAGAATTTTTTGCTTTTATCATTTTTTCTTTTTTTTTTTTTGAAATTAATAATTTGTCAAAAATTTTCAACTTTTAATGAAATTTCTTTATTCTCTGTTCCCACCGCATACTATCATTGATCGTTATGTTTTCTTTAAATTTGATCTGAATAGCAACGAAAAAAAAAGAAGAGTAGATCTTGAAACTTATTATGGAATATAAAATTACCTTACTTAAATATTCCAATAGTATTTAAATTAAGTATTTTCATTACCAATTTTTATAACGGAATTAGCTATCAATCATTTTGTTTGAGCATTTGAACTGAATCATAATTATTTATTTGTATTTGAATACTGTCATTTGTTGGAAAATAAATGAAAAAATTACAAATTGTGTTCAAAAAAAAAAAACATTCAATTAAAAATAATTGAACGATTAATTGTGTAAAATGGGTAGGGAATGATTGAAAATGATTTGAATATTTTTCAATAAATTTGTTTTTTTCATTTGAAATATAATTCGCATCTAAAGTGATATTTCAGGAATGAATATTAGCTATTTTCTTCAGATGGAATATCAGAATGGCAATTAATAAAAGATAATACCAAATATGAAATCATAACTTTTTTCATTTTCCGATATAAAAGATAACAGATAATTAAATTTTCAGTATTTCAAAAACAAAAAAAAAAGAAACAACTTACATTAATGCCAATGCAATTATCATCTGGAAAAGACAAAAAAAAAATTTTTTCCAAACAACTCATTTTATTGCTATAATTTAAATATAACAGAATGATAAATTATATGTCAAAGGGGAAAAGTAGAGAATTTTTATTGGAAAAAATTTTTTTGCTTTTAACGTTTCATTTTTTTCTCTGAAAGAGAAAAATTTGTTCCTAACTTAAGCAACTGATTTTTTAATTTAAAAAGTTGAAAAACCTTTTAAGGATGAGAAATTGATTTCATTTTCATTTTTGTTTTTTTCGTAAAGAATCATTTTATAGCATTATGAAAGCAAATGAAACTAAAGCAACAATATCACGTATTTTCAATTTGTGCAATGCCATTGCACCGGATCCGGTGATCTCTTTGCGCCGGATTTTTCTATCATTTTGATTCCGTGGTTGTTTCATATTGGAATATTTCATAGTTTCATTAAGTTTATCTTCACCCGGCAAAATTTTCATTTTCGGATCATAATTTTGCTGTTTTCGTAGATTTTGATCGGTATCGTCGGAATCAGTTGGAATGGGAGAAGATGCTACCGTGTAATATTCTAAAAAATGATATACTCGAATTTAAAATAAAATTTGAATGATAGATAAATGTATGTTTTAAATAGCAAAAGTAACAAACCAAATTTTTAATAATTGAAATAATATTAAATTCTAACTTTAATTTTTTCAAAAATTCATTAAATATTATATAACCGTGAATTTGTTTTTTTTGTCAGCTTCATTATTAATTACTAATTATTACCTTTTGTTGCAACTTTTTGATTATCGTTTTCCATTATGTATAATGTTGATTTATCTTTGATATTTTCCGTAACATAACTTACAGTACTGGTTTTAATAGAAGGAACTGTTTCAATTCCGAATTCTTCGTCATAATCATCATT